GTCGTGTGCGCCACCGTCTCCGACAAAGGTAGGAGGAGCTAAAGCAACTAGCGCTAGCACAGCACTCGCTTTTTTAGCAGAGGGCGAGTGTTATAGCACGGCCGTCGTGCGCGCCACCGTCTCCATCAGAGGTGAACAAAACTTAAACGACTGGCGCTACTATAGCACACACTTCTTTAGCATTGGGCTAGAGCCACAGCACGACCGTCGTGCGCGCCACCGTCTCCGACAAAGGTAGGAGCAGCTCAAGCCACTAGCGCTACCACAGCACTCGCTTTTTTTAGCAGTGGGCTAGGGCCACAGCACGGCCGTCGTGTGCGCCACCGTCTCCGACAAAGGTAGGAGGAGCTAAAGCAACTAGCGCTAGCACAGCACTCGTTTTTTTAGCAGAGGGCGAGTGTTACAGCACGGCCGTCGTGCGCGCCACCGTCTCCGACAGAGATGAACAAAACTCATACGACTGACGCTACTATAGCACACACTTTTTTAGCATTGGATTAACGACACAACACGGCCGTTGTGCACGCTACCGTCTCTGATAGAAGTAAACAGAGATCAAGGTACTGGCGCTAACACAGCACACGCTTTTTTAACATTTCTCCGACAATATTAAACGGACCTCAAACAAATGGAGCTACGTCAGCACACATTGTAGCAGTGTTCGATGGCTACAGTACGGCCGATGTGCGCGCCACCGTCTCAGACAAACGGAAACGTGAGAAGCAGGTAGGGGTTCCATAGCACACGCTTTTTAGCAGTACTTGAAATGGTTAGGTGGAATTAAAAAACGACTTCGAGGGCTCACAGCATCAACACTCACAGCAGTGACTTCAACCTGGTTGCCCAAGGGTTCGAGTTTCCACGGGGGCAGGATTTTGTCTAACCGGTAGGTCGAATTCAGTCGCCGTCTGAACGAGGATTCTAGCTGCCGGCTGTTTTCATCGGTAGTTTTATCGTGGTTTCCTTCAGTTAACACCAGACGAATGACCGGAGCAGCGCCTTAACAAACGGACCATTGACCGGGCGCGAACTTACCTCTTTCTTGTCATATCGTCACCCCTTACATACACTACCTTACTTATATCCTTTATTTACATGTACTACACTACCACACGTTCACAAGACCAGGCCGTCTTAAGCGGCTAACGGCATGAAGAGATGCAACTGCAGTGCCTTTAACCGGGAGGTCCTAGCGTTCGGGTCCCGACGGTGGAAGGATATTCTACACTAGCTAGATACGTATCTCGAAGCTCGTAGCTGTCTGGACGAGAATCCTAGCGACTGGCTGCTCTGATAGGTAGTTTTCCGGGTTTTTCTTCGAACAACAGAAGTTGATTGCCGGAGCAGTACTCTAACAAACGGCCCACGGACCGTGTGCAATCTTTCCTACTTCTTCCTTGTCCTATCGTAATCCCTTACACGCACTTATACGTCCATGCTCTACATACATGTAGAGAGACCAGTCGAGAGCTTTCAGCATAATGGCTGGTGGTAGATACCTACATGGGGAAAGCTCCCGCAAACCGAGTTGTAGGTCGGCCCGACACTCGCTCTCCAGAGGGGAAGATCACCGCCACACCCGTGATAAAAACATGCACTGCACTTCTGGAACTAATAGCCCGAAAACATCAATCAATCTGGAGAACAGTCGAGAGAATTTGTCCCGGCTTATCCCAGCTGGGGCGGTGCTCCCTTGATGATACCTGCTAAAGTAAAGGCTTGTAACCAACGTGTAGATCGTCGCCGCATCTCATTTTTTAGTAGGAAAAGATCACTGCTATCTCCCTTGATAAAATCATGCATTACAGTTATGAGACTAAAGAGCATAGCAGTTAACGCGCGTGAAAACACTGAATCAATAGTATTATTAAAATTCTAGAGGAACCTTTAATAGTATATTACACAACTAGTTTATAATGTTAAACTTTAATGTATACGTACATGTTTTGAAAACAAGCGACGTTAGGAAGGTTTCAAACAGTGATGTGAGTCTACGCGTAAAAAACGCGTAGACAACTTATTCTGCGTAGGCAAAGGTAATCTATGTAGACAATGATAATCTACCTTCTTTATGGGGCAAGGGCAAATTGACGAGGGCCATGTTCCAACCCCAAAGAAAAATTTATTTACAATTATACTCAATTAGGCACAGAAATGCTACAAATTGATTAAATTACATCCAAAGGCCTAGTACCATTATGAATTAAATTTTTAATAATTTTCTTCAATTTCGTTAATTTTTTTTACTTTAAAGATATTGATGGGGTGGGTGCCACTCATGACTGGAATAATCTTCCTCACCCGTGAAATACTTATGGGGTTGGCCTCTCTTCCGAGGGATGAAGAGGTTGGCGACATGATCAGGGACAACTCTGGTTTCAAATTTGTAAGAATGCAATAAATAATTATTATAAATCGAGTTACATTCGTTATTTTCGTGTGACAGCTTTATAAATACATAACAGAATCCATGTTCATTTTTGGAAACAACTTTTAACTTTCAAAATCCGCCGTCAGCTCGCGTCGCACATACGTCACGGTTTTTTGACAACCGTGCTAAACCGCGGTCCAATGTGCTGTTTACTGCCAAATCCGCACGATTCGCTGGCTGCGATTCGGTTCGTAGTGCGGTTTACCTCTACACCTCACGATTCGTCCGCTGAGAATGGCTGAATGTGTGATAACGCAATTATTCCTGCCATGAACGCTTAATACGATATAATCTGTGCCATAAAATGCCATTTTATGACCGATTTCTTGCAACGAAGGTCGTCTGGGATGCTGATAGATAAAAAGGATTTTTAACTCGCAAAATGTTTCTCCGGGCTGGAATTCAAACATTAGTGTATAGGCTGAACAATCAATTTTCTTTCTGTTACCTCATCAGTGCTGGTTAAGTACACCATCGCTACCGACGCATCAAAAAAGTAAGTGCTGCAATAACACATATTTTCTCGCATTGTTTGTAACGTTTACATAATATAACACTAGTTTAGCCCTCAGAAGAATTTCCAATCCTTAAAAATATTTACTCTATTTTTGAGTAACTCGATTCGGTATTTGAATTCTAGCACTAAGATTCGTCCTAAATTATCTTAAACGTTACACCATCCGAGCTGGTTAAATATTCCAACGTTCCTGACGCATAAAAAACCAATGTTATTACATCCGCACATACTTTCTCGTGTCATTATATTTATTAATGGATAGATAATATATTGCACACTGAATCCTAATAATTTTTCAACCATCTCGTGGAACTCTTTACAGCAAGAAAAGTGCCATTATTCGACTTTGTCGATTTCGAAAACAAATCTTAACATTTGGTCGCTTATTGGATTGCCAAATGTTTCCACTGTTCATCTAATTGTTTTACAAAGGATGCAAATATTGACCATTAATAAAATTTGAGAATTTTATGTTAAAAAAGGGGTAGACAATGTTACGTTAGTGTATTTTCACTGCCGTTTTGTAAGAGTAGCTGACAATATTTTGTAATCTCACCGAGACGTCTTTGAAGACGACTATTAGGTGTAGACGTAATAAATATTATTTATTTTCACTTCCCTCTCATTTAAGCTAGTTTAATTTGTATGTATTAATAACTAACGGTTTCCAAAACCAAAATGTTTGGTTTATACCCGTGTTTAGAATCGGGTCTGACTTGAGTAACACGCCCTCCGATGGAAACGGTTGGCAACGTTGGCATGTTTCCAAATTACTCAATAGAAGGAAGGTAAATTCACGAAATTTGTATCGTTAAGCTTTCGAGCAACATCCATAGTCTGTAGAGCCGTAGCCTTCGGGTTCGAATTCCGCAAAAGACAGGGGTATCTCCATCATATGTTTGTCATGTGACACGTTATTGGCTATTCACGCTATTACAATTTCCTTCTTGCCCATTATTTCATCCTTTATTAATTGTACTCTACATCATCATCCACTCATTATTTCTCCATCATCCTTCTTTCAGTCGAACGCTTACACAAACCGCAGGTGATAAACGTGCCCGGGAAAGGATTGATTGATGATTGTTAGTGATTCCGGGCTCGTCAACCGCCAAGGTCATTAGTCCCGCACGTGTGGTGCAGGTTTTTCCTCGGGAGGTTGGGGTGGTCTTCCCCCACTGGATGGCGACATCCGGCGGCGATCTAGCGTGGTTTTCCCCAACCAGGTTTTTCACCAGCGGGACACCGCCCCAGCCGGAACACGCTCTCGATCGGTCTCCCGGCTCGAGTGGCAGCGTAGTGCATAATAGTAAAAGTGCGTGTAAGCAAGGGGCGAGAATAGGACAAGGAAGAGGTAGGAAAGTTCGCGCATGGTCCGTGGACCATTTGTTAGGGCACTGTTCTGGCGTTCGCATGGTGTTGATCGGATAAACTACGGAAAACTACTGATCAGAGCAGCGAGCCGCCAGAACTCTCCTCCAGACAGCGACTGACTTCGACCTACCTAACAAGCTACGTCGAAAATCCTGGCACCCAGGAAAGGAAAGGTCATCAAGACGCAAGCCGCTTTCCTCGCATACGCTCAAAAATAAGTATGGCACTCATCCGGTGTAAGCCATAATCTGGAGCACGGAATTCTAAAGAGCGCTCACGTTAATGCGGGGAGGATTTTTATTTTAATCACTTTTTAAATATTAATAAACGAATTTCCGAGTAATGACAATTGTGAACTTAATAACAACATACTTTAAACTCAATGCTAGTCTTATATTTTCTTATCGGTTCAACAGTAGAAAGAAAAAAAATTCGCTCACAAATTCGGAATTCCGAGCATTTCAAGTTTTAGGAAACACGCTTTCATGAGATATTACAACATATAATACAGTTGAGAACTAAGAAGCACCCAATAAGAATACACCACCTGCAGCAACGTGGGGTCTACCACAGAATCAATAATTTACTTATGTAATTTGATTTATTTCGTAAAAACAGTACCGTAAAAAACAGTACATCGTACATGTCCTGTTAACATTATCACAGCCTATTGTGTAGTCATTACAGGTTTGCGAATAATTCTTCGTTCAGCTCTGGTACGTTTTAAGCCTTTTGGAAACGTCATGCGCACTGGTACATTCTATGAGCTGTTTCCATTTTGTCTTCCTTTCTTCTAACTTCATCGTCATTCGTTCGCGTTGCATGAATAAAACATGATCGCCTGTGAAGCCGACGGTAATAAAGAGGTGCATGTCATATAAGTACATTATCTTCTGAAGAGTTCGCTCGCAGTAGGAGATCATAGGGCCGGTGTCAATGCTCTCCACTTCCGGAAAAGGTGCGACATTCTGCATGTTCTAATTTGAATGTTTAGCAAGTACTTTCGTGAGAACACTTTTCAGAACCTATTTTTGGAAAGCAGTAAGAATTCTTCAATATGCCAAGAATGGTATGCTGCGAAATGCGAGCAACCGCCCTAGAAATTATTTTAATAATCGGGTCGCATTTCGTAAATTTCCGAAAAAATATGCTACGCCTAGTTAATTTTTAATAGCCTGTAAAGCAAGTGAAACTAAATCTATAGTTTGAGGTAGAATTTGAAGCAAATTCTGACTACTTAAATGGTATTAAGAAAATTGGTTATGCGTGTTCTTTAATAAGTATTGTTACTGTTTCTATATGCAATGTATATGTCCCGTTTAGAGAAGTTTCCGTGTAAGCAGGGTTGTCGATTTGACGACACTATATTATGATTATTAAAATAGATTGACGTATAGCAATATGTGAATATTAAACACTTGGTCGTTGATAGCTTCGGCGTTTCTCTTATTTCCATAAGTTTGACCTTTTCATCTAATGGTATATAACATTAGAGTTGTATGGCATTCGCATTGTTAAACTGATTGTGACTTGTGACTTGTGAAAAATACACCCCATCTTACTGGCTAATGGCTGAAATCGGACTGCTTGCAGACGCTTTCAACGCGCTATCCGTCACAGCCCAGTGAACTATGACTTTCCTACACCCTCATATGGCCTTGAGCAATGCGTCTTTGACCGAGGGATTAAGATTTTGAACATATAACAGGGAAAGGTGCGAATAGAAGCCATTCTCGAACAACTCACGCTCAGAGAAGAGGGAGGAATTCCTACAGCGTACGCCTCTCTCTCAGCACTCAGCTCTGTTATCTTGTTTAATCTCACTCGTACACTATCAAGTCGGATCTACATTCAAAAATAGTATTAACTGGTCTTGAACGAACGAATAGTGTAAATAGACCTTGTGAACGTTTTTGGGCTATTTCCATTGCAACAGACATTCATTGTAGGATATTGGAAAAGAAAGAGCAGAGTCCTTGAAGATTTAAAAAATCCACACACTTTTAGTCATAAATGCTGCATTTAACAAGCCTAAATTTAATTGATGTCCACAGTAATGTACGTATTTATCATACTTTTGTTTTATAATGGCTTGCACTCCGCGTTTTTGGTTTTAGCGTTAACTTGCTACAACAGGCATTAGTCGCCACCGGGTAAGAGTGGACTTCTATCTACAAAAAAAAAGGCTTTACTATTTCTACAGTGTTTGAAATTTCATGTTTCTCGTTCATTTATTGGGCGTCTTCAAGTGCTAAGAGGCTCTGAATTACATCTGGAAATGAGGGACTCATAAAAGAAGTGTCTGAATTTGAAGAAACATCCAATGGAATTACTTTCGCTATATTGTTTCAAAAAGTAGCGATAAGGTGAACACTTAGAGTATGCATTGCCATCGTACAAAATGTAGTAATTCTTGCCCGGCAATGCGATGACGATGACACTAGTAAACCTCAATTTTATTACCTTGCGGCTAATGGGGGAATATGTATTATTTTTTTATTAATGGTTTTTTATTTATTAATTATTTTTAATTTACTTATTTTTTCATTTATTAATTATTGTTATTTATTAATTAATTTTATTTTTTAATTATTTTTCTTTATTTATTTTTATGTTTTTGTTTTTTTATTTATTTATTTAATTTTTATTTTTGCTTATGCTTATTGAATTCTTGTACACAATACGTTCTTGCTTACGACACAACTGACGCCATGCGACAGCAAGGCTTTAAGAAACAGAACACCTATTATTAAATATTTGCTATTCGCCTGTTTTTGTTACGGGAAAGCTATTTGTTTTTTATATTCTGGGAATTAAAGAACCGTGTCACCGCATATAATTTTTTATGTTATTGTAGTATTCGAGAGATTGCTGATTTTTTCAATAAAATATTTTCTTTATTGTAGTATTATACGAGAGTATCTCAATTATTGCTCTTGAGCAGTGCGCGAGCTCATTTTCGTACAACCATTTTGTGTTGTTTCTTCAGCAGCACATTTGCTGCTGCAGACTAGTAGTTATTTATATTCCTGTCAATTCAATAGAAAGCAATTTTGCTCGAGAATGTCACCACTTTCATCAGTGTTAGTTTACGTAAAGGCACTCACCTGCCAACATCCATCTTACAGCCCCCACACCCAATGAAGCTTACGGGAGAAAAACCCACGTAACTCGTCCCTCGCGAAGACGCCGCTCAGAAACACCCACGCGATGACGCACCATCTTCGCCACCCTCTCTTAAAGTGGACGAGCCTTCAATGCCCTCAATCCTTCTCTCACATCTGGTACATTTTTATTATTGACTTCGCCTCTCTCCTGTATACCTTAGTCTCCGATTTTGTCTCGTTCGTTCTCTGTGATAGTCGATCCTTTTTAGAAATCTATTGGTAAAATATTTTTTTTGTTAATGAATACAATTCTAATGCAATAATATAATGTGTTTTTTTCAAATGGTGTAAGATACACAATGGACTAAATGCATCGTGAGTACCAGAATAAAGTCGATTTGCATACTGTTAAAACTGTTTTTCGTTCGGTAATAACAATTATGATTGATGTAAAATATAGTGTGTCGTAACTTTTATACAGGCCCAAGCAGAATATGCTAAAATATAGCTTTTTGTATATTTTTTTGCTGAGGATCTTTCCGCACTATAAGAAGTATGCATACGTTTCTTCTTTATTTTTAAACGTAGATACTACTTTCAGGTTTGAGATAAAAATAACGATGCTGGAACATATTTCTTTGCTGTTTGTTATCTCGGTCACAGTTAATTATGTACGCACAGCTAAAATGCTTATGATTACGCAATTATTACGTTGCGTGATAGATTGACGGCGATGTGCCACGGTATAATCCATTTAATCGTTTCTTTCTGACCACCACGCTTATATTACTACAATATACGAGTACTACCTGAGGGAAGTTCTGTATGGCGCAAAGCATATGGCAATTGTTGCACAGCCAAGAGTTAAATACTTTGACCTACATAAGATATGCTAACTTCCACGACAAGAGTAATATAGAGAATTATTAATAATAAATATAAAAATATAAAAAGATTAACTACGCTACGGATTATATAAAATTGAAATTCGGTCCTTGTTCAGCTTGACCACATTTACAATTATCATCATCATCGCCATCACTCAAGGTTTTTCAGACTTCTCTCATGATTCTGAGAAGTCTTTTTTCTATTATTCCTCTTTCTGGCGTGTAGTTTATCAAATATATAAGGGTAAAACATTTCTAGTGTTAAAACAGTAGATAATGAATGTATACCAATAATATGATGTTAATTTTCTACATATTAACGAAGGATTCATAAATATATTTATCGGTGTCACAAATCCAGCCAAAAAAACCGAACTGATAAAAGCACAGTTCACGTCAATGCTGAATGCCGACCATGCTGACATATTCACTCCCTTCGTCTCCCATCGTGGAAGGAAATACGAGCAAGCCTCCTTTCAGGATTATCTGAAGAAAAGTCCCCCGATTATACGTCGCCGAGGCAGGGGAACCGGAGAGCGGAAGTAAGGCTTCAGCGGAAGCCGTACATTCTACACCGCTCCGAGTAATTCGACGCTATCGCCCTCACAGGCTCCAAATCAAGACCAGGCCTATTTATTCCCCCTGTACGTGGAGAACGGAATCGCTCACACTAGTCGCAAAGTAATCGATCTACGTAAATGTTAAAATATAGTACTTACGTTTCTATTCTATCACGCAATCTGTAATGGTCAATTAAGAGTTGGTGTTACTTTCATGAAATTTTTCATTTGTGATAAAGAACTGTTGTAGTGCATATTGTGAGAATTTCGTTGTCCAGTAATACTGCAATGTACATTCGTTTAATTATTAGAGAAAAGACTATTCATCGCAAATAACTGTATCTGAATTGGTTGAAGAGTATTTAAATATTCAAATAAACAATAAGCCTACGTCACAATACGTATTCTGCTTTATTCAGTTTTCTATATAACACAGGCCGTTAGAGCAAAATTATTTGTGTAATGCAACTGTTAATACTTATGTGTACTTAATAATAATAATAATAATATTATAATAATATTATAATACTATAATAATACTATAATAATAATATTATAATACTATAATAATAATATTATAATACTATAATAATAATATTATAATGTTAATATTATTATTATTATTATTTGAATATTCAGAATGTTATAATGTCAGAGAGAATGAAGACGAAGAAGAACGAGAGCTAGAAGAAGAAGAAGAACGGATTGTTGTCTCCGAACGCTGACGGATTATTGAATATAAAGCCTGTAGAAAAAAAACGTGAAGATAAAGAGAAGAGCTCAAGACAGACTTCTGTGAAAGAAACACGTTCATCGAAACCTGACTCCACCCTCGACATATTTACAATGTTTTGGTAGCATCATTAAAATATAATATGATGAACGATTACGACATTTCAAAACAATGAAAATTTGTTATATTCATTACTCACCGAAGAAGGGAAGTGATTTCCGCAAACGGCAATGGCGACAGTCTTCAATTCACCCGCTACATAGCACACGACACCACGCGGCACACGAATGTAAACAAGACACTTCTTAACGACGCACTCGACTTAACGACGCACTTCCTCTGAAGAGTGAACGAAGAAAAGTGGAAGTATGGTTTCCCTGCCGTTGAAAATATATTGGTCGGCGTGGTCACGTGGTAGTGCACTTCAGGGTTTCTCGTTCTCGGAGACCTGGGGACAGACACAAGAAACAAAATTCAATATTTCGTCCACCTTTTACAAGTTAATGAAACCTGTGAATTTTAGGTTATACATTTAGAAATTCCATGGCAATGAAATAAAACCATGGTTTAAAACTACGTTTTTAAACAAATAAATGTCGGATTTTGTTATTTATTGCATAAAGAGGTACAAAGTAAGAAATCTGAAACTTGAAACCTTTACCATCCACCAAAAAGTGATACCTCAGTTTCGTTGAATCTTGAACATGAAACCTTCCGAATACGAGGTTCGTGAGTAAGAGATCCCTCGGTCGCTCGGGCAGAGAGTGACCTCTCAAATTAACGGGATATTGTGCCAAAGAAACTTTGTGGACTTATAGTTGCCAAGTATTAGCACGACATCTTGTTACGCCGTCGGCTTACGAATCGCTGGTAACGGTCGCTGTCAAGAGCTTCCAAAGAGGCAATAAACCCTTGGTTTACTACTCCGGCTATTGAGCGCGTTCCACCTCAATAGGAAATATTCTCCGAAGAAGATACGAGAATACTTCTGAAGGACACTCGAGCGCAACAAAAGGCGCCTCTCCCGACACAAAGTGGCGTCGAGTATTAGTGAGGCACTGCCCTGTGATTGTCATACAGAAGGAGAAAGGGATGAACGGTCGTCACGGACGTCGGGTGTACCATTGTCACCGAAGAACACCAAATTCAAAATGAATAAAAAAGAAAATGTTGAAAGGGACAGTTGAAGTGATAGTCAAAAGTATAAAAAAGACAAGGATGCACATAAATTTTTCTAACAGATGTGTCGGCACTTATTTTATATAACACATGAAGATAAAAAAGTGCTTATAATAAAAATTACCATAAAGAATTCATCACATAAACTATTTTAAGAGAATACTCATTCTGAAAGAAAATAAATATGCAATGCAAGAACGAATCTAAACCATACAATCAATATACTGACGTTTCACAGATAAACATATTGATATTGAAGAGCGGCACATTAATACAATTATAACCCTAAAAATCTGAAGATTTAAGAAAATTTTGTTATTAAAACTAAATGTAGGGGTTGTGTAGCTCAACATAATATTAATAAATTGTTCAAAAATGTTGTAGGAAAAATCTTGCATATTTACAGAGTGATCCAAGTAGTATTAGCAACCTGATTTTTTTTAATATACGGGAGTCCCACCAAATATGGGCTACTCAGTTCACGATATCGAAATGAAACTTTTTTCGACAATGCGGAATCATTAGACAAGTAATACGACGTAGAGAAACTGAAATATTTTTAATTTCTGATAAAATTTAATCATCATTGATTTTTTAAATGGACCTACTATTAATTCTTCTTACTAGCAATGGATAGGTCACAAAAACATTACATACACTGATGTATTTTAAGTTAGAATTTAGATAGTAAATTGAGTATAAAATTAAACTTTCTTTAAATTTCTTGTAAGAATAGAGTAACATACATTAATGAAAGTGGCATTGTTCTAATTTTCATGGATACCTAAATTTTCAAAAATTGCAAGATTATGACTTTTTTCGGTGCGTTCCTACAACCACAAAATTGATGATAAACATTTATTTCAAATATTTTTTTCGCCATGGTGAGTTCCTTCATTAATGGCATGTACATTTTTTTTAAATGTTACTAGTTTTCGAGCAATATTGCGGGCAATGTTTGCAATTTTAAAAAAATTTCTCAATATTTTCTCATAAACAGCACCCATTTTTTCTTTAAACATTTGGTAGTAATAGTACTAAATACACTCTATAAGAAGACAAACACCATATTGTTCTTTCCTTTCGTTTTTTCAAAAATTACAAAAATGTAACTTTTCTGACGTGTTTCTCACGTCGTTACATTAGCGGCAATTCCTTTACATTAAGGTATTTATGAGTACATGTGCTTTAAATAATATTAGATAACGCAACAGTTTTCCGTGAAAATTAGATCAAAATTCCGCATTTTCAGAAACGCTTGAACGCTATATTCTCAAAAACGACTTCAATTTTTTTAAAACTTTTCCAACAGATAGTGCTAAATGAACTGTTTAATATCACATAGAATTAATTTTTCTATTTTTCTGTATTCATTTATATTTTCAAAAATTACACAAATTGATTTTTTTAAAGCTCTCTCACGTATTTAATTTCCAGCAATTTGTAAACACTATTGCATTTGTGACAGAAAGTACTTGAAATAATGTCCTATGAAGTTTTTCGAAAACTCAATAGTTTTCTTTAAAAAGAGGTTCAAATTTCTAATTTACAAGCGCTAATTTACAATTAGCGCTTGTCCAAATTTTTTAAAGAAAATTAGCATTTAGGATTAAGATTTACTGTACTTTAATATTCTTAAAATAATAATTCCACTCTACTGTTAGGACGCCAAAAACGGAAGAAAAGTTTTTAAAATGTACTTTGAGCGATAGATGGCAGCTGGCAAGAGTATGTGGCAAGTCCGAATAGCTTGCTGCGACCGAAGGAAATAAGAATCCAATACGGGAAAGTTTATGCCATTTGTTACACCACTTTTTCGTCTTTTTATAAACTATCAATTGCAAGAAAGAAAAGTGTGAACAGTAGTTCATGTAAGAAATTGAATAGTATTAAATTTCTCGAATACTAAAACAATTTTAAACAATAACTCTACAGCATGATTCCATATTGTTGGGAAAAATTGCATTTAGATATCGTGAACGGTTTAGATGTGAGGGTGGCCCACAGTAGGTGGGGCTCTCGGTATAATTCAACAACAATTAAAAGTATGGTAACTTTTTTACAAAATATTTTTGCACACTGTTGCGCTAGGGAAGTTTTTACTTGCCAAAAAAATGTTTTCTGGTTGTATTTTCAACGAAAAAAGCATCGTTTCCTTCGTCTGCATCGCTCATATATCCCCGTTCGCTTAAAGCCTCTTTCGAAGTCCCAATGCATGCCAATCCAAAGAAGCAAGATGGGGAGATTTTAGGATACGAAATGTCAATTTTTTGAATGACATACGGTTTCCGCTGTGGAGACGAGAATTTTCTTGAAGGAAAAGTATGTCTCAAACAGTGTCTTTGCGACGTCCTGTGAGAAAGCTTCGCATAGCTAATTGCTTGTTTTTTATACCTTTTGAACATAAAAACCGTATTACTGCTCTTCTATGGTACACCTAGCTAAAGACATCGCCATTTTGTTTTACTAGTCCTTCATATTATAAACGTCATGACTAGGGGGCGGATTTTAATGAAACATATTTTCCTTTTCACTTTAGAACAATGCCGATTATTATAGAAATCAATTTTATGTTATGACAAAAGAAAATTATCCATTTTTGTTCGTTATTTTTTTGCATTTTTCGTCAATATGTTCTAATAAGTTAATTTTTTTATTCTTTGCTGATTTCATCGATTTTAATATGGATTTTAATGGCACTTGCTTCAAATAATATTTACGAGATGCAACAAATGTTCTCCACAGAATTGCTGAGTATCCTATTCGATTTCTTCGATCATAAATTGTAATGTCAGCCGTTGTTTTAACTGTGACGTCTATCCCCGCCATTGTCGGTTTGGCCAATTTCGCGATAACTAAAGACAGAGATTTCCTGGAAAAGACCGTCCAAACCAAAAGTGTGCAAGCTGAGTTCACTTGAATGAAGGGAAAAAGCCTCGAATACACCAGTATATACGAAGTATACACCAGTAACATATCCAACATATCTGAACTTGTTTTGATAACATTATTTACGTCATTTTTCTTTGCTTTTATGTCATTTTTAAATACATTTTAAGAGCATTTTATACATTTTTGGCCATGTTTTAGGCCATCAAAACCCTCCCCTAGTCATGACATATATTAGGATATGTCAGCACATTCACAAAGTATGCGCGTCTCCTTCGTGACAGTTTCAAATGTCTGAAGTGATCTGTGTGCAATATGATGAATTTGCCGTTTCTTTTTGAGTTTACTTCGATCTTCACTTAATTTACATACCAACCCAAATTAACCAAAAATGAAATAGTTCTCAATATTTTTCGTGTCTGGTAATAACTAGAGCTAATAAACAGAAAAATAATATTTACTCATATTAGAAGATTTTGCCATTAAAAATCTAAGTTTGTTTTGAAAATATGAATCAGAATGTACATATAAAATCTCATTACAATTACATACAGTCATTGTATATAGGAATATTATATACAACCTCTTAACAATTTCAAACAGGCGTAGTATATAGGAATAGTACGGGCTGAGACGGCTCAGAGCATCAAAACATTAATGTCACTGAAGTGTCTCTGATCGCCCTCTGATGTTTTAATGTTCGAATGCCGACGGTGGCAAGATTTTCGACACCATCTAAACATCTAGAACGAATTGAGCCGCTGTCTGAAGGAAAATTCTAGTGGCCAGCAACTCGGATAACTTGGAGGATTATGACCTAAAACTTTTAGAAACTAATGACCTAATACTGTTAGAAACTAATGACCTAAAACTGTTAATGTTTATGACCTAAAACTGTTTATGGCCCAAAAATATGAAAATATG